AAATTAAATGAAAGAACCTTGATGGGGCGCCTGGGTGGCTCAGTCGGTTAAACATCCAACTTTGGCTCAGGGCATGATCTAGCAGTTTGTGAGTTCAAGCCCCACGTCGGACTCTGTGCTGACAGCTCAGAGCCAGGAGCCTGCTTTGGATTCTGTGTCTCTCCTTCTCTCTGCCCCTCCCATGCTCATGCTGTGTGTCTCTCTGTCTCTCAATAATAAACATTAAAAAAAAATTTTTTTTTAAGTGAAAGAACCTTGAAAGTCAACTCTGGTATATGTGAGAGTCGCCATTCCAAAAGTTACCATTTTTGAGGTGGAGAGTCTAATCTGCGAACTAGTGAAAGTGTATGAGAAAGTAATTTGAAAGTATAAGCAAAATACAAATATAGTATGTGTGTATGTATGTATGTATGTATTTAAGAGAGTAAGAGGGCAGAGGCAGAGAGAATCTTAAGCAGGATCTTAAGATCCCATGACCTGAGCCAAAATCAAGAGCCAGGTATTTAACCGACTGAGCCACCCAGGCGCCCCCCAATATAACATATTTTAAACATAACTTCTAGTATTAGTGCTTACTCTCCCAGTATTACCATCACTGCCTGGGGCCAGACAGGATGGTGAGAAGGATCACTTATGAAAAGGAAAAGAAAAGGCTTCAGATTTATGAAAATACTAACATTAGGGTACTCGGGCTGGAGAAACCTAGATAGAAAAGGTGAAAGAGACTGTGGCAACTTAATCAAATGTCAAAGGATTTCTTAGGAAACAATGCTGATTATCCCTAATCACAATTAACAAAGTATTGCCATGCCAGGATCTGTTCACCAACCTCTGCCAAAATGTTTGTACAGATGGTTCGGTTTATACACGTGTTAAACACAGGGCTTGTTGATCAGTTTTTTGATTGTCTTCTCTGCTGCTCTTCCTTATTCTCACCGCAACAATTAATATTTGCACTACTGTGCAAGTGCCTGCTTTATTTTCACTCTGCTGCCGGCCGCTTTCCATCCCCATACTTCGGAAGCCTGTGCGGCACTCACTGTGATTCTAACCAACTATGGTTTTGGTTATTGTTCTTTGGCTCTATAAATCTTTGCATCTCTGATGATTTTTTTAGGAAACGTTCTTTTTTCTTTTCTTTCTTTAAGTAGGTTTCATGCCCAGCAGGGAGCCCAGTGTGGGGCTCAAACTCACAACCCTGAGATCAAGACCTGAGATGAGATCGAAAGTCAAATGCTCAACCGACTGAGCCCTCCAGCAACGCCAGGAAATTTTCTTATAAGTGCAATTTCTGGGAGATGGAAGGAATGCAAACTGCTATATTAGATAAGCCCCCAAATCTCAAAGGTTTAACATAAAAAAGTTTCTTTCTCACTTGCACAGCCGTCTAGTATGGATGTTTGGTGGGTGGCTTTCACCATGGTGATTCAGGGATCCAGGTTCCTTCCAGTTTGTCACTTGGTCCACTTCAGCACATACCTTCAAAGCCATTACAGATGGGGAAAAAGAGGGTGGGTCGAGAAGGAACACCTGCTTCTTAGCCACGTCTATTTGGAAGTGATATATGCCACCTCCATCCTTTCCATTAGTGAGTACTAGTCACATGGTCCCACCCTTACTGCAAAGGGAACTGGGGAATATAGTCCCTGCCTGGGGGTGGGCACTTCCCAGCATCACCTGCACCCTAAGGAAGGGCGCGTAATTGGCGCACAGCTAACCAACCATCTGTGGCTACAAACAGTATTCCGAGTCCATCTGCCTTAATTCTGCAGGGAAAATCCCAGGTACTGTTGGGTCACATGATTGACTAAGGTGGTTAAAATTTCACCACTTACTTGATTCCCTTCCTTCTCTTATCACCAGGCCTGGAGTTAATCACTTTGATTCTGATGGTGTGATTTTCCTGCCCTGGGTATATCTTTCCCCTTTCACTTTTACCCAGCATCTTGACAATCTTTCTTAGTGGAAATTTCCACCCTCACTCCTCTTCCCTTTTAAGGGGCAAGACATAATTTTTGCTGACTGCCCTCATTTGCAGCTCTGGCCTTCTCCTGCCTCAGAGTGCCTTCCCCCTTTCTCCAGAGCCTCAATATACATCCCTCTGCCATTTGAGCCTTCTCCAAGGTCCTCCCTGGAAACCAGCCCTCTCTAATCTTTTTGGGATTTCAATTTCCAGAGCGTGTTCCTGCTCGCTCTGGGCTTACTGTTCACCTTGTCTCCTGACCTGCTCACAGTCTTACCTACTTAGTCCTGTCCCCAGATTCAGGGACGGTGCCCAGTTTGTCTCTGGATGGCTTCAGTGCTGACCTTCAAAGGAAGACTTGAAGCTCTGGGCTTATCCTCGGGCCCGGCAGGCTGTTCTGCAGTGAGCGGTTGTATCTGGCATGGCACCTCTCCCTCCCAGGTCCTGTGGACTCATTGTAATCGGGAGGAAAGAGGGAGAACAGGGACACAGGAGTGACATGAACTGTGTATACTTTCCTGAGCACTGCACTAGGTTTTCTGGGGCAGTTAGAATTGACCAAGTACAGTGCTGAGCGACCCTAACGCCTTGGGAGAACTGGAAAACTCCCGATCTGGGCCAGAAGTGACTGCCACACATTCTCAGCTCAAAGGCTTCTTCCGAGAGCCCTGGGATCCAATACGGAATAGCCTCAGCCGCTAAGCTTCATCCACAGGAAGGTAGCAGGTGCAGCAAATTCCGCTTTGTCACCGGCCCCTAGGAAGTGTTGCCCAGAAGCAAGTTGTGAACAATCCATCACCTTCTTTCAGAATTGGTGACTGCAGGTGTTCCAATGAGAGGTACTAATGTTCCTCTAGTCCCTCTCTTTCTGAGCTTCGCCTTCCAAAAAGCCGCTGAGAGTCTAACTTCACCCAGGGCGTTGGCGAAGAGATCCCACAGCCAGGGTTGGCTGACTTCTGACCTGCCTTGTACTTCAGATGTTTCCCCCCACCTGCTCTTAGGATAATCCTCACGAACAGACTTTTCTTGGTGGGGGGAGGGAGGAGGAAAGACATCAATTTCCTCGAGAGAGGTGGAGCAGGGGAGCAGCCGAGAGAAAGCTTCTCTGTCTGGAAAGGAAGCCAGAAAGGAAGACAGAGTCTCTTTGAACTTCTCCCACCAAGCTGACAGGAAAATTGCAAAAACACCATCAGACTGGATCAGGATGCAAGGGAGCAACCAGGAAGGCATGGCTGCTTTGAAGGTTCCCCGCTCTGCGTGAGGTATAGCTTCTGGAGGGGAACACCAGCTGTAGTGAGGCACAAACCTGGCTGCGTAGACAGACCGCACACTGGAAACGGGCTCCGTGTTGTTGTAGTGTTCCCGATGGGTCACCAGGGCCAGAGTAAAAGAGGGCGTAAGAAGTCGATGCTGACCAGCTCCCCTGGGGATGGGGGAGGATCAGGCAAGGACCAGATGAGGAACGCAGGGGCCTGCAGAGAGGAGAGGGAGTTAAGCAAGGACAAGGGCCATCCTGGATCCTGGAGAGACTGTGCCAGTGAGTCCCAGTAATGGCCTAGAGGGACCAGGACCGGGACGGTCAGCATTGGCCTCAAGTAGGGGGATTGGTGGGGTGTGGGTGGAACCCTCTAAGTCACTTGTGGGGCACAGCGCAAAATGAAAATGGGGTATCCTTGTTCAAAAATTATGATGAATTTATTGTTTTTAAAACTGTTTCGGGGCGCCTGGGTGGCTCAGTCATTTAAGCGGCCGACTTCGGCTCAGGTCACGATCTCACGGTTCACGAGTTCGAGCCCTGCATCAAGCTCTGTGCTGACAGCTCAGAGCCTGGAGCCTGTTTCAGATTCTGTGTCTCCCTCTCTCTCTCTGACCCTCCCCCATTCATGCTCTGTCTCTCTCCGTCTCAAAAAGAAATAAACGTTAAAAAAAAATTAAAAAATAAATAAATAAAATAAAACTGTTTCATTTATTTTTGAGAGAGCACGAACAGGGGAGAGGCAGAGAGAGAGGGACAGAGGATCTGAAGCGGGCTCTGCACTGACAGCAGACAGCCCGATGTGGGGCTTGAACTCCGGAATCGAGAGATCATGACCTGAGCCGAAGTCGGACACTCAGTCGACTGAGCCACCCAGATACCCAAAATTATGACAAATTTAAAGATGGCAACAGCAGATATTAAGCTGAGTGCAGGGCCATGTGCAGCTGGCTCAGGTCACATGCCCACGAGGCCAGCCCGGGGTGTGAGGTACCCAGGGTGGAAGGGCTGTAAGCTCCTGTGTAAACAGACGTCACAAGGATGAGTCCAGGCTGTAGAAGTGAAGGCCAGTAGTGAGGGAGGGGGTGCGGGGCGGGGTGGGGGTGGGGGGAATCAAACTCCCAGAGGAGTCTTTTGGTTTTAAAAAATATGAGAAAAAATAAAGACTCTCCATTAACAACACGTTTTTAACTGTTTAACAGGCCTTCACATCTCTAAAACCATATAACAAAGGTGACAATTTTACGAGCCAAGTTATGCATAGCACATTTTATGTTCCTAAACGACCTAAGTGATTTTTGTAGGTCCTCAAAGGACACTAAAAAAGTAAGTGTAGCGGAGGAAAAGAGAATTGTACGTATTTCCATTTCTCCATCAAATAGCCATATTTCTTTAATAGAAAAGTCATTCCTCACCCCCCTTCCTCCTTTTGTCCAAAACGTCCCAACGTTTCTCCTCCCTAGTCCAGACCTGTTTTGTCTGTGACGTGTCACTGTGTCGTCTGCCACGGTTCGGAGGCCACGACTCCCCAGTGTGGTTGGAGCTGGTGTCACTTGGTGGGCCACGTATTCTCCCACCCTCAGGTGCTCCGTCCTTCCATACAGCAAACTCCCTCCGAGACCAGAGCTCATGGAAAAGGGAAAGATCTGGGCCTGGAACTTGAGGAGGGAGCCGGGGAAACAGGCCTAGAGGTGGCATGACAGAAAGCTGCTGGTCTTCCACTCTCAGGGGTCTGTTTCACCTTCCCTCCCTGAGTAAGGAGGCCGGGTTGGGGGGCGGGGGTCGTACCTGCCTCCCCATCTGGGATGCCCCCCTCCACCTGCAGCTCTCCAGCCATGGCCTCAGGGAGCAGGGGCTGTCACCCTGGGCATGTGGCCGCGTGTTTTCTCTTCTCACTGGGACTTCTCAGAGGAGTGACCATCCCCTAATATTTGGAGACTCTGCCCAGCGGAACGAGCTGTGTCCCCTGCTGTCAGGCCAAGTCAGCAAAAACTTTGCTCAGCAAGACTGTGAGACCTTGGATCTTCTCAGAGTAGGATGAGGGGTCAACTTGAGAAGACACGAGCGCTGTTCTGTGAAGACACTATACTTCATCGCCCAGGGGAGAGTGTCCAAGGAGATTCTGGGAGCTTGAAGTAAACTTTAAAAAGCAAAGAATTTCCTTTCTCCCCAGCCAAGCCCTGCTTCGAACTGCAACATGAACAGCTTCATAGCAGAGGGACTTGGGAGAGCTCTCAGGTTGGTTCCCCTGACACTCCCTCCCACTCCCTCTTCAGGGTGGGGTTGCTGAGGTGGAGCGGAGCCAGTGGCCCTGAGGAGTTTCCTGAGGGACAGGAAAAGAAAGGCCCACTGGGGACTCAATCTGAAGGCCAGAAACGAGGCCTGCCTCACCTGCTCTTCCTGCTGACAGACACCAACCGAGCTTAGATACGCCCCTCATTCCTTGCCACTCCCCCCCCACCCCCCCGGGCACCCTCCCCTCCCCCCCTTCCCCCCCTCCCCTCCCCAGTCTGTGAGGCCACATAGCAACCTGGAACAGGAAGAGGCCCTATCAGGGACAGTCCCCTGGGGAGGACCAAAGGTCAGGGCTGAGGGTCTGGGGGCCCAAGGGGCAGCCCTTCCCCACCAGCGGTGCCGGCAGCCAGCAGGAGCGGGGCCAGCGGGTGGCAGCGGCCCCAGGGGCAGGCCTCATGCCCTCATGGCCAGGGTGACTGAATCTGCCAGCTGTGGGGCCCGCCCGTGCCAAGTCTGCCCTGGCTCCGTCTAGTCGTAATCGATGCTGGCGCCAGGCCAGGCCCCCTGCCAGCTCCGGTCACACTCGGCTAACGCGAGAGGCCCAGCCCATTAACTCCTCGCCAAGGCCCATTGTCTGGGTCCCTGCCCGGTGGTTTATTTACGTGGTTTATTTACTCCCAGGGCTGGACGGCTGGGGTTGGGAGAAGGGGAGGGCAGGGGGGAGTGGGGCTGGAGGCCGCTGGCGGGGAGGGGCCAGCCAAGGAGCCCAGTGGGCCTGGTGGACAGGACGGCGGCATCCAGAGCCCCAGGGCAGGTCACACTGAGGAGGGTGGTTTTTTGGTGTGTGTGTGTGTTTTTTTTTTTTTTTTTTTTTAAGCCACATCAAAGATTCCCTGTAAAGGCAGAGATGGACAGATGCTTTAGACAACTGGATGGATCCTTAACTCCCAGACAGTGGCCTTCCAATCCTCTCAAAGAAGTTCTAACATTATATACCCTCTTGTATTAAGTTGTCATCTGAACTTTTTCATCACAAGTTTAAATAGTTCCAAAGGATATGATTTCTAGTATTTTATAAGCATTGTTTTCTTTCACTTTCTATGTGCCTTTATTTGACTGTATACCCTATGTGACAGTCATTATGAAAATTTAAAGACAAATGAATATTGATATTTTTATTTTATCTTATTTTATTTCATTTCATTTCATTTCATTTTTTAGAGAGGGAGAGAGAGAGCATGTGTGAGTGGGGAAGAGGGGCAGAGAATCTTAAGCAGGCTCCAGGCCAAGCAAGGCTCAATCCCACGACTCTGGGATCGTGACCTGAGCCGAAGTGAGAGTCAGATGCTCAACTGATTGAGCCACCCAGGCACCTGAAACATAGAAATTAAATTTTTATTGGAAATACCTCTCTTAATGAGATGGCAGGGGTAGGTTTTCTTCCTAGTTAATGTGTGTATATGTGGACGACGATTCCTTATTGCTGGACTGAAGGTTCAGCATCTGTTTCATTCCAGTGATAGATTTAAACACTGAGCAACATTGTTCACATAAACAAATATGTAATAGAAACCAATGAGTTTTGTTACAGGGTGTCATTTAATTCTTGGAACTTCCAAATTGTAAGCCTCATCTTACTATCACATTGTTTTTAATGATCTGCTGACAACTTGATTAGCATCTCCTTCCCTTTCCTTGAAAGCAAAGAATTGGAAGCCACTTGACTTGCAAAAAGACTTGTTACCCCATCCTTGGAGTCCTTCAAGTTCTCATACCTGCTCCACGATGCCATGTTCCCAGGGGGGGGTCACATGAGTGAGAGGTACATCTTCCTCTGGTAAAGCCCTGTTTCCTCTCGGTGTGAAAGAGGATGTCTGGTGTTAGGTGCCTTTTTAGGAAGATCACTTTTAGGAAAAAGCATAGAAAAATGGAGAATCAGAAAAGGGATTCTCTTCAAGCTGTCTTGAGTCACAACTCCTGGGATACAACACCCCAACTTTATGACTAAGACTGAAAGTTGACTTGAGGACCAGAACTTACACTTTGATTCCTCTGCTAGGAGTGAGCTCAAAACCCAATAGGATTTAAATACACAGATCCCTGTGGTCACTGCTCCAGTTTTTCATGGCCCTCAGACTGTCCTTCGCAGAGCTAATTGCCCTTTAGTCCGACCTTTCTCAGGTTCATTCCTGCAACCTGCTATTTATCATTGCCCTTTATGGAAAGTCCCCCAAACTAAAGGGAGGAAAGCAGCTGGAGGCTGGGAGAGACCTTGTTCATCTGAGTTAGAAACATTCATCTATCTCAGGATCCTAGAGAGGTAGTTTCCAACCAAATGGCAAAATATTGAGAGGCATCACCCCCATAATATTTGTATATTTATAAATCATACACATGTACTACTGTCAACCCATACATTGTGTAGATTAAGCTTTATTTGAGATTTTTGCAAACATGAAGTTTATTTTATTCCCTACTCCCCGGGGCGCCTGGGTGGCGCAGTCGGTTAAGCGTCCGACTTCAGCCAGGTCACAATCTCGCGGTCCATGAGTTCGAGCCCCACGTCAGGCTCTGGGCTGATGGCTCAGAGCCTGGAGCCTGTTTCCGATTCTGTGTCTCCCTCTCTCTCTGCCCCTCCCCCGTTCATGCTCTGTCTCTCTCTGTCCCAAAAATAAATAAACGTTGAAAAAAAAAATTTATTCCCTACTCCCCATGGATTGTCTCAGGAACCTTCTTTGTAACCCCGTGCTTAAGAGCTTTCACTCAGGTTTGCTCTCAAAGCCCCAGGGGAACGTGTGGGGGAAGGGTAGGAGACAGCACTGGAACCTTTGCTCTGGCTCTCTCCAAAGCATGAAGCTCCAATATCCTCCAGCCAGTATTTACCAAGATTATGTGCCAGGCACTGTGCTCGGTTCTGAGAATACACAATGATACAATCTCTTGTTGCACCATAGCTCAGACATAGTGAATTCTCCTGAACTATGCACTTAAGAATGGTAAAGATGGAAAATTTTACGTTATGTGGTTTTTTTCCACATACACAAAAGACACAGTCTCTGCCCTTAAAGAGATTACAGAGTAGTGAGGGAAATGGAATTCACTCACTTGTCTATCTGGCAACTTTCAATTAATGGAGTGCCTGCCAATCATGTTCTAGGCCCCGTGTAGGTGCTGGGGAGAAGCCTGTAAGGAAAATCAGACACAGTTAATGTCTTACGGAGCTGACAGTCCATGGCCTGGCAGGAATGTGCACCCACACTGCCCCAAACTAACTACTAGCCACACTTGGCTCTTTAAATGAATTAAAATAAAATAAAAGATAAAATTCAACCCCCCATCTCACTAGTCAAATTTCAAGTTCTTGACAGCTGTAGCCAGCTAAGTGCTACAACATTGGCCAGCATAGAGAACATTTCCAGCATTGCAGACAGCCTTAAAGCACTGAGCATTGGTCACTACAACAGACGGGGTGCACCAGCTGATGAGGCGGGGCCCCTGTCAGTCTCTCCAGTGCCTTCGTGGCCATTTGTAAAAGCTGCTCATTCTGGGCTGGTGCAGCGCCATGCCAGGAATGAGACCTGCGGAGCAAAATGTGGTCCTGGGCCTGAGAGAGGCCAGAGTCTCGAGAACAGGGAAATGGAAATTACCATGTGGTCACCAGGTCCCCAGAGGTAAAAGACTTGGGAACTCCGAGTTGTGGTCTAATCTCCAATCCCACCAATATACCAGGCATCCTTGCTCATGCTGTTTTCTCAGCCTCTCCCCCATCTCTACACCAAGGAAATTCCCTTTAAGGTCCCAGGTAAAACACCACCTCCAGGCTCTCCAAAGCCTTTCTTGAGCCCTTTATGGGGACTAATTAGCATTTACTGAGCACATACTGCATTTGTGTGACAGGTGGGCACAGCGGGCAGAGTCTGGTTGTGTGGGGGCACCAGATGAAGCCGGAGCCCCTAGACTTTCAGTGTGGTGGTTTTAAGTCCCCGAACCACATGACTGGCCACGGTAGCCTCACCGTCGGCAGCACACATTTGTTAGGCAACAGAAGGCTCTGGCCCCAGGACGTCGCCTCTCCTAACCTGCGACTTGACCTAACTGTGCCTGACACATCTTTGTCCTCACCTCCTGCCTCGCGTCACACATAAAAGACACGAGATTCATGGAAGGAGTCCACCCTTCCATGCCTCAGCTATCCAACCTGAGAAATGGTGAGGCTAAGCCTCACTAGAAGTCTCCAGAGATTCTCTGAAGAGGCTGGAATGTAAAAAACCACTTACCCAGCTTAATTCTCACAGAAGACAGAGACACGGGCAGGTCTCACTCTTCCAGGCATCCAAAAACCCACCTCTTTGTCTTCTTCTTCTTCTTCTTCTTTTTTTTTTTAAATTTTTAATGTTTATTTACTTTTGAGAGAGAGAGAGAGAGAGAGAGAGAGAGAGAGACAGAATGTGATCAGGGGAGGGGCAGAGAAAGAGACACAGAATCTGAAAGAGGCTCCAGGCTCTGAGCTGTCAGCACAGAGCCTGACGCGGAGCTTAAACTCACAAACCATGAGATCATGATCTGAACCACCCAGGCGCCCCGAAAATCCGACTCTTCTGGGTGAGTTTCAGGAGGGGGAATACTGCTGCCTGAGTTCTGGAGTGATGGAGATGTATCTCAGCAAAACGCTTCCTGCAAGCATCTGGCCAGCTGCCTCCCCAAACCTGCAAAACCTTCCTGGAGTTAGACTACAATTTCTTCTCTTGTTTTTACAGTTGGGGCCTCATGTAGGGCAGCCTCAAGACTTGTCCTGGCGATGATGCTGGGGTTGATATGGTCCAGTGAGAAGAGCATCAGCTCTGGAGTTGGGCCTGGATTCCATTCCTGATTCTGCTGCCTGTCAGCCCAGTGACCCTGGGCAAAGAACTCAACCCCTCTGAGCCCATTTTTCCATATTTGCAAAATGGACAGTAGTCCCTACTTCACAGGTTGTGGAGGGACCTGAAAGGACAATAAATCTCTAGCGTATGGTTTGGAAGTTAAGATCCTGGCTCTGTCACTTACTGGCTGTGGGACTTGAGGCAAGTTACCTAGATGTTCTGTGCCTCTATTGCCTTTTCTCTAAAGGGGGACCATAGTAGGGACTAATCTAGAGGGTTATTGTGAGGATTACTTAATGTCTGACTCAAGGTGAGTGCTCAGTGAATGTTGGCATTTATCACCTCATGTTTCCAACAAATGAGGTAAGCAAGGTGGTGATTATTACCCTTCCCAGTGGATAAGGGAGGATCACACACATCTAGTTTGTGAAAACTAGATGAGAATCTGACTCCCCCAGGAGTCCAGGCTTCAAATCAAGCCCCTGGCGAGGACCTTGTGCTGGCTGGTTCCCTGGGCTGGGCCTCAGGCTCACAGAGCTGCTAGATTGTGAACAGCTCATCCCTGAGCCATGGCTGCTGGCTTCGTTCCCTTTTAGAGGCCTGGGGAGGCTCTCCATGTCAGTCTGTGGCTTTGTCACTTGTCCCTGCTAGAGTCTTCCCCACTGCCTGTGGGAAGTTTCCTCTCCTTACTCATGCCTGAGGTTCACTTCAATGCCCAAGGGAGGCCCATGCCTAACCCCCTTGGTTGCTTGTGATTAGAGTGGCATGGGACAGTGCAATGAGCATTTTGGAGCCAGGGAAGAAGAGAGGAGGAGGAGGAGGAGGAGGAGGAGGAGGAGGAGGAGGAGGGCAGGCCTTGGCTCTGCATCTCAGCTATCCTGACAGCAGGAGTGTGGTGAATATAAAGTGAGGTGCCCAGGAAGAATTAAGCCTTGGCTAAGTGGTGGAGAGGCTGAGACAGGAGGTCAGGGAGAGAAGGAGAGAAAGACCAAGATTTTCACAGGTGGGATGGACCTTCTTCCCTTTCCATCTCATAGATAAGGAAAATGATGTCCATTTTGCCCACAGTTACAATAATTTAGCCTCTCGAGTGCCCACTTAGCTTTCCTTCCAATACCCAGTGCCCACTCACCTCCCATTCTGAACAGTTGGTATCTGGCAGGACTTCTTCTTCCCTGAACCAACGTGGCTGCCTCACTACCACCCAAGGGCCCAGCCTGGAGGAGGAGACTAGGATGAGACCTGTTCTCCCACCTTCCCTTGAAAGACCATCAGGATAATCCCCTCATGCCTTGCAGTTCTTGTGTTCCTGGTCACCACCAGAAGCCTTAAAATCTTGGTGACCCTCATCCTCCAGACTTTCACTCCCATATAACTCTGCAATCCCTTGATCTGATCCTATCCCCCCCATAACTGCTTCCTAGAACCCATAGCTTGCTATCAGCAAAATTTCCTCATAGCGGCGACTGAGTGGCTCAGTCAGTTAAGCATCCGACTTCAGCTCAGGTCATAATCTCACGGTTCATGGGTTCGAGCCCTGCATTGGGCTCTGTGCTGACAGCTCGGAGCCTGGAGCCTGCTTCCGATTCTGGGTCTCCTGCTCTCTCTGCCCCTCCCCCACTCATGCTCTGTCTCTCAAAAATAAATAAATGTTAAAAAAAACTTTTTTTAAATAAACATAAAAAAATCTCCCCATATACTCAACCTTCTTTCTGAAATTTCTTTCACCTTCTTGCTCTAATGGAAACCTCCCTGATCTGCAAAACAAAACTTCCTGGCAGCCACCTCTTCTTGTGTCTATTTCTTCTCCCACATCCCTCATACCAGTGTGCCTAGAGGTGGGGAGTTGTCCTCCTTGCTCCTGATGGCTATTTTTAGGATTTTTCTCCTTCTTCCTCCCACTTTTATTTTTAAAAAAAATTTTTTTTTTCAACGTTTATTTATTTTTGGGACAGAGAGAGACAGAGCATGAAGGGGGGAGGGGCAGAGAGAGAGGGAGACACAGAATCGGAAACAGGCTCCAGGCTCTGAGCCATCAGCCCAGAGCCTGACGCGGGGCTCGAACCCACGGACCGCGAGATCGTGACCTGGCTGAAGTCGGACGCTTAACCGACTGCGCCACCCAGGCGCCCCTTCCTCCCACTTTTAAAACTCCATCTTTGGGGCATCTGGGTGGCTAAGTCGGTTAAGTGTCCAACTCTTGATTCAGCTCGGGTCATGATCCCAAGGTCGTGGTATCGAGCCCTGTGTTGGGCTCTGCGCTAAGCGCAGAATCTGCTTGGGATTCTCTCTCTCTTCCTCTCTCTGTCTCTCCCTCTGCCCCTCCCTACCTCACGTGTGCTCGCTCTCTCTCTTTCAAGTAAAAAAAATAATAAGTGAATGAATAAATAAAACTCCATCTGCCAGAGTACCTGGGTGGCTCAGTCAGTTAAGCATCAGACTTCGGCTCAGGTCATGGTCTTGCGGTTTGTGGGTTTGAGCCCCGCGTCGGGCTCTGTGCTGACAGCTTGGAGCCTGGAGCCTGCTTCAGATTCTGTGTCTCCTCCTCTCTCTGCCCCTTCTCTGCTCATGCTCTATCTCTCACCGTCTCTCAATAATAAATAAACGTTGGGAGCCTGGCTGGATCAGTCGGTTAAGCCGCCGACTTCGGCTCAGGTCATGATCTCACAGTCTGTGAGTTCGAGCCCCGCGTCGGGCTCTGTGCTGACAGCTCGGAGCCTGGAGCCTGCTTCAGATTCTGTGTCTCCCTCTCTCTCTGACCCTCCCTCATTCATGGTCTGTCTCTCTCTGTCTCAAAAATAAATAAACATTTAAAAATTTTTAATTAAAAAAATTAAAATTAAAAAAAATAATAAATAAACGTTTAAAAAATTTAAAAAACAAAATCAAACTCCATCTTCTTTGAAGGCCACACCATTAGATCAAACCAGCCACCATCCCTTCCAGTTGTACGCATTTATCATAATCTAGGCCATTCCCACTCATTCACAGAATATTCTAGTGCCTGGCTCACGATCTTCCTCTCCACCACCACTCCTTCATTATTTTTCAAGATCTTAACATCCATTCCTTCATTCAACAAATATTGTTGAGCACATGTTGTACAACAGGCACTGTTCTTAGAATTGAAGGTACAGGAGTAAATCAGAGAGAAAATGTCACAGCCCTCAAGGTCCTCCATTACCCCAAGAGCAAGGATAATTAACAAATAAGTCAGTAGTCCATGATATAATGTGAGGTAGAGACGCTGCAAAAGGAGAAAAGGCAGGTGAAGGAGCTATCTTAGAGATAGTGGACAGGAAGTTCATCTACACAGATGACCCACCCAGCGCCCACCACTCCTGTGTGGTCTGTGACCACCTCTCTCCACCAGATTCCACTCCTGTGGCCATAGCCTAGAACTGGGCACCGCTGAATCCCACTCTCTGATCACCCCCTTGTGTGTTTCAGTTCATTTCCTCAATTGTCTCTACTCTACTCTTTGTCCCCGTTGGGACCTCCATTCCACTGAACTCGCCCTCTTTCGCTGTCCCTCAGTCCCTTTATCTCCTCGTGAACTTCCTCTCCAGCTGATTCTGTGGCCCGTGACAATAACCACCCCTTTGCACAAGCCCTTCCCTCTTTGACCCTTTCCCTTCAGTTGGACTCCGCCGACACACCTCGACCTTGCTTACCCCAAAGCCCTACCTACTCTGCACCTGCACCGAGTAGCTGAACATCACTGGGGAAAATTCTCAGCCGAGCTGACGAGCCGCACTTTACATTTCTGACCACAAACCTCAAGTGGGCACTCAGCTTGCCCAGTGATCCTATTGTGTTTCTCTACAAAATTCACTGCCCCACTTTCCAGATGAGTGTTTCACATCTTCTTCTCTCTTCTCCAACCCTCAACACCTACTCTTTGTTCCCCGCTGTTACTAACCACCTCACTTCTTATTTCACTGAGGAAATAGATGCGATGGTATGAAAAGTACCTGTCTTGTCACCATCGCTGCACCTGCCTTCCTTTCTTACCATGGGTGGCCTCCTCTCCATTTCCGCGCCAGCCCCTCCACTGTGCACCAGATTCTAATCCCTTCATTCCTCCAGGACTTCGCCCCAAGTCACCCTTCTCCCACCTGTGCTCCCCAGCTGCCCCTTTCTATCAGATCTTTCCCCTCAGGGTATCAGCATGCTGTCATCTCACACCTAAAAAAACAAACTCTCCTCTGACCCTCTTTAGCTACTGCCCCATTTCCTTCCTCTGCACATCCTCACCCCCATGCCCACTTAGCCCACCCCAGCTAAGCTTTTGTCTCTGTCCCTCCATTGAAAGTGCACTTGGCCAACTCACCAGTGGCCTCCTTGTCAGCACATCCGAAGATCAGATCATCTTATTCAGTCCCTCAGCAACCTCTGCACCCTAGAGAAATCGCTCCTCCTATGAACCTTGCTGTCCAGCCCTCCACACTGGTCTGGCCTCCTCCTACCTCGATAACACCTCTTTCTCAAGCCCCTTCACTGGTTCTTCCTCTTCTCGTTATCTCAATTAGCACGGTGCGAGGACTTCTTCCCTACTTAGCGTCTCTCCCTCGTTAGATGCCATCTAGGTCCACGTCTTTAAGTTTTTTGTTTTTTTTTGAGAGAGAGAGTGTGAGCGGGGAAGGAGCAGAGGGAGAAGGGAACAGGGGATCTGCAGCAGGGTCGCTGACAGCAGTGCGCCCAATGTGGGCTTGAACTCACGAACCGTGAGATCATCACCTGAGCTGAAGGCAGACACTTAACCAACTAAGCCACCCAGGCGCCCCAAGGTCTGTGTCTTTAAATGCCATCAAGATGTTGGACTCTTTAAGAGGCAATGGGGAACAGAGTAGAGAATGAAACAGCAGCTCCAGTTCTGGAGCTCTTGCCTGGCTGCGAATCCCTGCCCTGCACTGATGTGCTGTGTGACAAAGTTGTTAAATTATCCCCGGTGCCTCAGTACGATGGAGGCTTACACAGGCTCTCCCAAAAGTGGAGCCTGACACAAAGGCTTAAGTGCGAGTAGTTAATTTGGGGGGACAGGCCCAGGGAATGGAAGTGAGGAAGAGGAAGAGTGAAACATGGATAGAAGGCTGCTGATCAAAGGTGTGGGGACAAGGTGGCCCTCTCTATTGGGTGACTGTTGCTCAAACCCGCAGGACC